AAGAATAGGACGGTGCCTGGGACTCAGTGAGGGCAGCCATGTTGGAGCAACTGTCGAGAGAAAGCCAGATTACTTGAGAGGTCAAGATTAAATCAGACAGATGGAACAAGTCAAGCCAGTGGCTCAAGCTGAGTCTGGAAACGAGCTGGGCTGGACAGCTCAGCTTCCTGTCTTGGGTGTTAGCAAAATTGTAGTGGTTTCCACGAGCCCCTGGAGCCTGTGTCAAACTCCTGTTCCAGCATATGCTAGCTGTATAATCTTGGGTAAATTACTTAATTTCTCTGTGCCTCACCTTCATCATAAGATAAAAATAGTACTCCTACCTCATGAGTTTATAGTGATGATTAAATGAGTTGTGAGACTTTATACACACACATACATACACACACATACATACACACACACACACACACACACACACACAGAGCTGGGTGTGGTAGCTAGTGCCTATAATGTCAGCATTTGGGGAGGCTGAGGCAGGAGGATTGCTTGAGGCCAGGAGTTAGAGACCAGCCTGGGCAATACAGTGAGACCCTATCTCTACTAAAATAAGAAAATTAGTCAGGTGTGGTGGCTCAAGCATGTAATCACAGCACTTTAGGGGTGAGGAGGAAGGATCCCTTGAGCCCAGGAATTCCAGCCTGGGTGACAGAGAGAGACCCTACCTCTATAAAAATAAATAAGTAAATAAGAAAATAACTAACTAAATAAATAAGGTTTTTGTAAGGATCATATTAGATAATCTCTCTGAAAACATCTAGCTCAATGCACAGTTCATAATAAGCACTTAATATATATCCTTTCTTCTCTTGTCCCTAAATCAGTATCTCCCACTGGGGGTGACTTCACCCCCCAGGGGGCATTTGGCAATGTCTAGAGACATTTTTGATTATCACAACTGGGGTGCGTGTGCTACTGGTATCTAGTGGGTAGAGGCCAGGAAAGCTACTAAATGTGCTACAGTGTCCAGGGCAGCACCAACCCCGCCAACTACAACAAAGAATTATCTAGTCCAATATGTTGATAGTTGTAGAGGTTGAGAAACCCTGCTCTAAAAGAATGCCTCCTTAATTTTAAATGTATGATGGTATACATTTTTCCCTAGTAGTACCTCAGTGATTACCTGTAAGTGCTTTATATTAAATATAAGACACTCAGCTCTATAAAATTAATAAAAATGGTTAAATAATAAATAACCATTTATTGAGCACTTGCTATGTGCCAACCCTACAGCTAACATAGGTGATTTGTGAAATGTCATGTTAAATATAAATCCTACAGCAATCCTGAGAATCAATACTATAGATTTTTCTAAATGGGTAATTATAATAAAATTTTACTTTAATAATGGCTTGAGTGTCAGGACAATCAGCATGTCTTCTACTTCCTGTTCCTGACTTTAACAACTTGTTGTATTGCAATGTCTATTGAGTCCTGTGAATTCCACCTAGCAACTGTCTCTCAATTTCCTTCACTTCTTTCTTCTCCCAACATCACTACTCTGCTTTGGGCCACCATATGCTCTTCTGAATTAGAGTAACACCCTCCTTATTCCTCTCCTGCCATTGTAATTACTATTCCCCCTAAACTATGCTCCACCCTGCTGTTTTCTTTCTAAGATCAAATTGGGCAATAATTCCTCTGCACAAAATCTTTTAATAGCTCCCCAAGGTCTTCATGATCTGGCTTTGTCTCTTTCCACTCTATCTCCCCTCACCCCCTCACCTCAACAAACAGTACAATCTTATAGTCCCCATAATCATAGCCCAAAGATGTTAATGCTTGTGGGAAAACTATGATTATATAATCAAGACCAAATTGTCAAGTTTATTAGTGTTCTTCTTGTATTAATAAGTAATGCAAGAGAAATCAAAGTCTCAACTAATTAGTAATGTTCTAGTAATGTCTGGTCAGCAGGTAACTTGAAAAGGAGGGAAGAAAAGGTCAAAATTTCCACTGGTGTTTTTTTTCCTATGTGGATGTGAATTGTGGCTATTATTAAAGCAGAGAGTGGTGAAAGGAAGAACAGAAAGCAGTGAATTGCTGCCAGGAGGCCAGGAGAAAAAGCAGAAAGGGATAAAAAGCCAATGGGGACCCTTACCTTCCTGTTTTAATGCTTTCTCCTAGCTGGGGGAAACATGACTCCACTCATGACTTAACAAAAGCTATGGTGAAATTATTGTTGGTCCTTCTGAAGGAGTGCCGATGTAACTTGGCAGAGATAAGTCTATAAATGGATGAGGTAAACAGCTTCATGCCTTTTGTAGCTTCATAATTCATGAATATTTCCAATGGGTTTTCTGAGATATGAGAGGGGAATGAGTAAAATGTCCAATAAATCCTAAGTCAGTTGGGCTATTTATCTGAATCTATTCACCAATAGACAACGTGTTTCTATTTAACTGATGATAACAGTTCCTATGAAAAGCTTCAGAAAATACAAAAAAAAAAAAAATTTACAACCATGAGCATATATTCCTGTATATATAAAGTATTAGGTCATTAAATATGAAATGTCTGATTTCGAATCAGAAGTGTAATTTATTATATCTCAAACAAGGGTACAATTAATCAAAGTATGTGCCTAAACTATCAACGCAGTGTTACCATCTTACTATAGCTTGTTTATGCCAGCAGCAAAGAAGCCTGAAGGGCAAGAGCCAATGAAATCGCAAAAGGTGTTTTCCACAGCTTGTTGAGAATTGAATATTTTTCCCTGCAAGAAGTAGCACAAAGCCTGGAAGAAGTGGTAGTCAGTTGGTGCAAGGTCTGGTGAATACAGTGGATGACAGAGAGTTTCTAAGTCCAGCCTCTCTGTAGTTTGAGTAGTGTTGTTTGTGAGACATGTGGTCAAGTGCTGTGTTGGAAGATGATGGGTCTATCTCTGTCGACCAATCTTGGCTGCTTACTGGCAAGCATCCTCATCATTTCATCCAACTGGGTGCAGTAGACATCAGCTATAATCGATTGACCAGGTTTCAGGAAGGTGGAGTGGATACTACCAGCGCTGAACCATCAAACAGACACCATTACCTTTTTTTGATGAATATTTGGTTTTGGACTGTGTTTCAGCACTTCATCTTTATCCAACCATTGTGCTGAATGCTTGCGATTGTCAAAAAAAAAACCCATTTTTCATCACACATAACAATATGGTGTAGAAATAGTTCACCTTTATGTCATGACAGCAAAGAAAGGCAAGCTTTGAGACAATTTCTCTTATGCTCGTTTAATTCATGCAGTACCCATCTATCAAGTTTCTTTACCTTGCCCATTTGTTTCAAATGGTCCAATACTTACGTTGAAATCCTAACACCATAAAAAAAAAATCAAATGGTCCAATACTGTTGGACTAGTAACGTCAAACCTTGCTGCTAATTTCCGCATAGGTTGAGATGGATTTGCTTCTACTATAGCTTTCAGCTCATCATTAGCCACCCTGGTCTTTGGTTGCCCACGTGGCTCATTTTCACGATTAAAATCACCAGAACAGAGCTTCTCAAATCATTGACTTACTGTGCTATAACCTTCCCAAACATTTTGTTGGTATTTTTAGCTGTCTACACTGCATTGGTTCCATGACACAACTCACATTCGAAAATAACACGAATTTTTGACTTATCCATGCTTTCACAAAAATTGCTCTAAAAAAATTTGAAAGATAATGACGCACCAACATGTGCATTTGAAATACTGAGGATATACCTCTACAGTAAAAACTAGAAGTGTCAAAATGAAATGTCAGAGATATTAACTATCAAACTTAGTACTTAAGGAAATCGGACATTTCATACTTAATAACCTAATCCTAAACACTTGATCAGTGACTATTTCATGAGAATCTTTTCCCTGCTAGATCTTATTCAATAACAATGGTATTATTCTTACATTTAACTTACCTGCTCTTTTTAGAGCATACCTACTCCTCTTCTATGGCTTTAATATGTCTCATCCTCACAATTCAAACAAAGGTGTTAAATTTTATTGAGGTCATGGAGTCAGTATTTTTAAGAATGGGGTTCTCCTTACAGGATAACAGAAAGATTTCTGAGGTACAGTTTAGCACTGATACCCTGTATTATGTATGCAGTACTTAATGGTTCATTTCAAGAGAGTACGTTTCCAATCAATCATATTTGCTGATTTTGAATCTAATATTAAAAGTAAGATGCAACTATGCCATATTGTTAGGAGAGTGGGAGGTGGAAAGGATAAGATGCTGAAGAAATATGGCTGTTTTCCCTAAGGAAGACACAAAACTCTACTGATCAAGCAATTAATTCTACAGGTCAAACTAAGTATTGGGGCCAGGTGCAGTGGCTCACGCCTGTAATCCTAGCACTCTGGGAAGCCGAGGTGGGAGGATTGCTTGAGCTCAGGAGTGAGACCCCGTCTCTACTAAAAATAAAAAAAATTAGCTAGGCAACTAAAAAACAGAAAAAATTAGCCAGGCGTGGTGGTGCACCCCTCTAGTCCCAGCTACTCGGGATGCTGAGGTAGGAGGATTGTTTGAGCCCAGGAGTTGAGGTTGCTGTCAGCTAGGCTGATGTCTCGGCACTCTACTCAGGGCAACAGAATGAGACTCTGTCTTAAAAACAAACAAACAAACAAAAAAACCAAAGTGTTGGGGTGGTCAAGAAAATGGAGGTTTGTGAGCACGTGAGTTGGCAGGAAAGGTTTTGTAGAAAACAATGAACGGTGACCAATGAGTGGGATTATGCTATGCCTTGCCCTCTAGTTGCAGACGGTGGCTGGTCAAGGGAGTTTGGCTGAGATGTGGTAAGAGAGGTTTTTTTTAAGTTAGCTAAAACAACCTTTTTCATCACACTCTCCTCAAAGACAATCCAAATGCAACACCAGACCAAAAGGTCACAAATAATAGCTGCAAAGGTCAAACTTCTATGGTCTTATTATAATTACATATACACACACACACACACAAACATTAATTATATATAATTATTTTAGAAAGTATATTGTTCTCTAACTCTCATTTTTAGCTCCATGGAATAACATTTCTAACCAGAAACTATTATCTGGCAGAACTGTATCTAAACAACAATGAAATATTTGACCTAGAAGGTACGTCTTAAATTTTCTCTGCTGATTGAATAGATTTTCAATTAATCAATAAGTTTGAAATATGGCAATTGCTAATGACTTACAAAAATATGTTTTAACATTTTTGTTGAAAATATGTGATGGGATCTATTTTTTAATGTTCTTATATACATTTCATTTAAGAAATGTGCTGTTAGATTACTTTTCTAATTCAATATTGTCATGTGTTTTATTCAAAATGTAAAAGAATATTTTAACAGGAATTTTAGAAACAAACTAAATATTGTGGAAGAAAATTTTAACAATGTTTGGGTGCATTAGTAAATATAAAAGTTTTATGAATCTTAAAAGTTTTTACTGGCTATAATTTTACCAGCCAAATTCCTGCTTTTACTCTGAGTTTGTTTTATATGTGCAACAATCTCTAAGTTAACAATTTCAAGCCTAATATAAAAGTATATGGTGTACCACGATCATGGAATACAAACAGGTACAGTATAAAACACTTTTCTTTAATATCATATATTATAGAATCAAAATATCGTAAATGTTAAGACCAACCATGATTTCATGTACCACCAAGAAAGAAAATCTTGCCAATTACACTATGTAACGGCTATCATAAAGATGTATCCCACTTTCACTTATGTTAAAAATGTGGGAAAATGTGTAATTTAGAACCAACAAAAATGTTATGAATATCTGACTTTCTATTATGTAAAGAAAATACTTAGTTGTGCAAGTTAGAGGAAGGCACTGAATTGGATGAGTAATTATTCTCTTGATTGGCATTATAAATCTAAGTATCATGGCCAAAGAAACCCCCAAAAAACAAAAAAACAAACAAAAAGAAGAAAGAAAATAACTGCTCCAAAATCAAGCAAACAAAAAAGCAAAATCAATTGCTATGGAAAAAAAGTAAAACAATAACAGTAGAAAGAAATCGATTCTATAGTCTCACATTGCAATCAATTATTTGAATTCATATGCTTTGTTGTTGTTGTATAATATTTTCTTGGTATTATTAATAGTCATTCTTTCTTTCTCCAATTGTAATATATTCCTTCCTTTTGTTTAGCTAGCTTGCTGTCATTAAAAATATTTATTATTATTTGTCGATTAAAAAATAAATAAACTGAAAAAAATGTTTAAAATCTTATAAAAATGTTCTTTTTTTTAGGCCTGCGTTGTCTGCCTTCATTGCATATACTCATGCTACACCACAATGAGTTAACGAACATTGACGCAACAGTGAAGGAATTAAAGGGAATGCTAAATCTGAAGACCCTGAGTAACGATTTGCACTTTTTTATGGCCATAAATTAAAATAATAATAACACAAGACCTTTTTCAAGTTTAAAACTAGAAGAGTAATGTTTACAACTAAAATACTTAGATATTCCTTGAAAACAAGAGTAGATCTTATTCTTTTTTAAGACATGCGTTCAAATAAACAACAGGTAGAAAAAAATTTTAATGAAACGATATGGCATGTCAAACGAAAACAACAAAAATAACAAAAGAGGATATACATGTTTAAACCCGTTTTTGGTTTTATCTCAAAAGTAGGTTTTAACACATATTATATGATTCTATTTATATGAAATGCCCCAAATAGGCACATCTGTAGAAATAGCACTACTGAGAGGTAATTATTTGTAACTAGATTAGTGTTTGCCTAGTGGGGAGGAGGGGTGGAGATTGTTGTGACAGCTAAAAAGTAAGGGGTTTGGGGTTTCTTTTTGGGGTGAAAAGATGTTCTAAAATTGTGGTGATAAGTTGCACAACTCTATGAATATGCCACAAATACATGAATTTTATATTTAAAATGGGTGAATTGTGTGAGATGTGAAGTATATTAAAGTTGATACCAAAAAAAAAAGTAAGTTTTTAAACATTCAATTGGGTGAGCAGCAAACTTCATTCATATATATTGAATCACACCCAGTAAGGAACTGATCACAGTATTGGAAAGAAGTGTGAGATGAGTTAGAAAAATAAATAATACACAGTCTTTCCTCTCAATAAGCTTATGATCTTGAAGGGTGAATTAATATGTATGCAACCAAAATACAAGACAAAGGATTCCAGGCGTACCAAGGTAAAAGACTCTCAGATCAACAAGTAGGTTTTTAGACTTTAGAGTTTGGAGACCTCTTTATATAATGTCATGAAATAGATTCTTTTTTTTCCTATTCATTTTCTGTCATTTCTCAGAATTGCCTGAAACAGTGTTTTGAATATTTAAAAACTAAGTGTCGACGGTGGAGTTTCTGATCAGATCAATATATAGCTAGAAACTAAAGTTTTCATATATATTCAGTGTAATCAGTTACATCTACTACACTGAGGATCAGTGATTGATGTGCTTATAGTTAGATTCTTTAAACTCAAATATTAAAATCATAAATTCACACCAAGTTCATGGCAATTCCATACTTACTTTGGAGACATGATAAGGCTGCCCACTGTTAGGAGTTTTTCACAGCTTTCTGATCTGTGAAAGACTCAGGATTGGCCTACATATTTGAGTTATCTGGCCCTTCTATGCGGAACAAATGCTTCTTTGATTAAAAGACTAGTTATGCCAGATCCAGAAATCTTACCTATGTTTTTCTATAAAATGGGCTAATAACTACCTCTTAGGATTGCTTCGAACATTAGGATAACTCTGTAAAACATTTTTTAAGAAAACATTTCTCACCATTAAGGTTATGTTGAAGCAGCAAAAAAAAAAAATTGTTTTATTGTAAATTATGTAAATCAGACAATAAATTAAGTTGCATATAGTCTACAAATTCTAAGTAATAGATGAGAAAATATAACTGACATTTTAAATAATAATCATTTTAGTAACATGTTTGAATGTCTTTCCTTTTGAAAAAATGTTTTCTTATATTCTCATTTAAATCTTTACAGCATCCTATGATTAGAATTATTCCCTCTTCAATGGTAGTTATGTAAAACCCAGAGAGTAAACCAAACTGCTAAGGAATATTGAGATTTAAACTCATGCTTTGCTTCATTTATCATTTATTTATTCATTCATTTAATAAATTTTTATCATGTATTCATTCATTTATTCAACAAATGTTTATCACACATGCACTACATGACACTTTACTAGGTGCTAGGACACAAAGTTGAACAAGAAAACCCAGTCTGGACCTTTATGAGACTTACAGTCTTATAAATTTCTGCCTAAATATTTCGTAGAGAGTTGAAAGGGCTTGATGCAAAACTATTTGGACACTTTGCTGTGTGTAAAAACTCACTAATTTAAGCTAACTTGTTATAAAACAACATGTGGGGAGTAATAAACAAGCTCTCCCCAATAGCAGCAAACAGGGTTATGCCTTAAACAAAGGTGCCTGGTCCAGGACTGAATGGACCCTAAAATCCAGCCCATTCCCTACTTGTCAAGGGTTTACTCGAGAACAGAATTGTGCAGGCCTGTGGGGAAGAGAGTGGCTTTTTCTAGTTCTTTGAAGGCCAGCCTAGTAGTATAATGTCCATATCATTACCTGGCACAACAGTTTAAGTGACCTCTACTTAAAATCATATTGACATAATTCAAGTCATATAATTACAATTGTTGCAATTGAAAATCTTGTCAGTGGGTCATTTTTTTTTTTTTTTTGAAATGGAGAAAATGCTATGTCCAATTACAAAAAAAGCATTTGCTGAAAATTCTTGGTAGCAAACATTCACCTTTTGAACCCATGCCTCATTTTGGTTAAAGATATTATGTGCAAAAGATACTATGTGCATTTCCTAGACCACTAATGTTCTTTGTGCAGTAATGTCCTCAGAGTAAGCTTCTTTGAGCCTCATTTGCAATCGCAGATTAGATTCAGCTCATTAACAAAAATGAGAAATCCAAATACTTTCAAATGTTGTAATTTTTGTCTTTTCAAGTTGTAAAACCAAAGAAAATCTAAAGTGTTATTATTATTATTCTACTTCGATTACAAGTTCTTCAGAGGGTGAGAAAATAGCCTGGAGCGTAAACCCCTAATCCAATGTCAGCATTGCACCCTCCGCTGGCATTTATGAGGAGAATTGCCAAGAACTGCATGGGAGACGCATGGCTGAGAGCTTCAGGGAGGCCTAAGCTGGCTGCAGAGTGTGAGGTCCTGGGAACTGGAATTCCTGTCTTCCAGGCAGTCAGATGCCCCACCTCTTCTCTCCAGGCGGTCTACCTTTCCACACCCTCCCTTTCCAGCTTCGGTTTCCTCTTCCTTTCCCTTCTCCAAACTTCTCAGAATCCACATGAGCCAATGCACTTTGTGGCTGATGACTTTCACTAACCTTTAGTCTTCCTGCCCTTTTTCCAGCCCTAAGGGAAAAAACCACCACCAATGGCAGCAAGGACAGAATGCTTCATTCATTCTCCTGTTTCTAAACCTTCGGTCTCCTCATTGCTCTCAAATGATTTATTTAAATCCACTATTGGAAAGTATACTTAGACTCCTGCATTTCATAATTGCGAAGACCTGCTTCCTAGCAGAGCTTCCAGGAGTCACCACTGGGAACAGGGATTCAAGACAGGGTCTCCATGTTTCCCCAGGTACTGCTTTTAAACACTTTCTACCCTTGCCATCAGCAGTACCCCCAGTCCACTGCTGAGGGCAAAACGCCAGGGGTGAAGAGGTTGCTGGGAGAGAGGCCGGGACTCTGATCTCAAGGGTGTGTGCATTTGAGCCTCTTTACCTGTAATGCCCTTCCAGGTGAGACCGCCCCTTCCAAACAACAATCACCAAATAAAAAGAACCACCTGGGTCTTGCACTGCTGTTTGTCCTAAAGAAGGGAATGTTCTGATCCCCTCACTTTCTTCATCCCCTGTTTTATTGTAAAAGTTTACCTTTTACAATCAGGGGTGATTTCCAAATTCAGTAAAAGCATGTGGTGTGTGGTGGCCCACCGATTTGTCATTAAAATGAGATGGCGATAATAATGGGGATGCTGACCTTACCCAGAACCTCAGAATCTTGGTGTCTGATTGTTGAGAGGCGAACTTTCTTCCACAGGCTGTTCTCTAAAGACTTTTAGCCTCTTTATATCACTTCCCCCATCTATTAAAATGAGTATGTCGGTCCTTTATTAATCTCATCAACTTGCTTCAAAGGCAGCCTTAAGAACATTTAAGTTCATCTATAAATGACCATTTTAAATTCTGCTTTAAAAGTTAAAAAAAAAATTAACTGGAGCCAATTATTTAGGCGACTGTATCCTTTTTTTTTTCTCTTCTGTTTCAATAACAAGTAGCTTCACACATGTGACTCACGTAACTCGAGCTAGTGCAGTAAGGTAGTAGGGACGTTTTGATATATCATTGGGTAAATGTAAATTGCTTAGACTCAGAATCCCAAATTAAGATAAGCAAGACAGTGCTGGCGCCACTGAGGTGTACTCTATAAGTAGCCTAGAGGGAAGGTGGATTAAATAGTATTAACCTATTGAAAGTGAAAGTGTAAGCAATTTCGCTTCATAGTTTCTAAAGGAATGTGCCCATACATCATAGAAGGCTTTCAGAACATTCAGACACAGGAAACCGATTTCATATCTTAGAAATCTAATTTATGGTAATTTTAGTAGCATCAATCCAAAACTCATAAATCCAAAACGTTACATGTTTAATAGCATAGAAGGAGAAAAAAAAGAGAGTTGAAAAAAGATTGCTTCCCTCTAAAATTTAAGGGCTATGAAACAGTGAAGAATAATAAAGCTGAAATGCCTTTCAAATTGTTCAATTCAATTCATTTTTTAAAATTAACAGCTCAGTTTGCTGACTTGCTGTCACTCAGATTTTACTTTAGCATGAGATGAATGGTCAGTGACAGCAAGTACATAGAGTTTTTAGCACTGAGATACCTTGTTAATAAGTAATGCGATGTAACAGTAGTAAATCCAAGTTCGATGTTTCGTTTAACTGAAGCTAGTTTTTTAATTTACATAAGGAAGTTACTTAACCAAGTATTAGGAGAAAAAGGCAAGAAAAGAAATGAAATGAACAGGACTGTTCTGAGAGGGAAAAGAGAATACGAAGGGTACACCAGAGAAAATGCCATTGAAAGATGTTGGTGCATTTTTCATTAACATCATATGTAAAGGCAGACTCCACTTTGCGCTACTAGAGTGCACTACAGGGTTATGAGGTGTCAAATGCGGTTCCCCAAGACGGGAACCACAAAGCAGACTTAAGCACGAAAGCATCCGTGATTTTTTATTCCTCCTAAGTTCTCATTAAAAACAACTATGTTTTGCTTTTATGTCCTTGAAGGGTGTCCTTTTCTTTACTTTTTCTGGTTCAAACTACAATTCATGATCCCTATGGATCTTTTAAAATCTTTCCTTATTATTGATTTAATATGTATCTGTTCTATTCTCTATCCTAATAGTTAAAATTATTAACTATTAATTACCACTTTAAATCTCTTCCCTTTGAAGAATAAAATTGAAACCATTTTTTGTCACTGAAATCTTGAAAAAAATTTCTGTTCTATTTTTCTTCTGATTTCCCCCAATACATACATATTTCCTTTCTTTTATATTTCTTTGTTGCTCCTGGCTCTACATTTTCTTTTAGGCCTCTCCTCACTAATAACTTTTGTTTATTGTGCACCAGGTGTCTTCCCTTGCCTGCTTTATGTCCCTCTAAAGCTCGTGTTTTCCACAGGGAATGGCTATATATAACGATTTTATTAGCCAGAAAAATGTGTGTTAATGCAACAAATATCAGGATGTTTTATTACCTACAGAGCAAACATCCAGATGATTGACTTTTTCAGTTTTTATCTAAATAGTTTGTCTTTCGAGCATGCTCCCGCCCCAATTTTCTGTTGCAAGCTGTTCATTATAAATATTCATCGTTTTTTTCTGGGTTTCTAATGTTTAATATTTTCATGCCTTTATCAAACCTCGTTGTATTTTATGAATAGTCTATCGCAGTCTTAAATTTAACGTGTACATTAAGTGAGCCTCGTTTTGTCGAGTGAACTATTAGTGCGCTAGCTCTTTCTGCTACTGCCATCTAGTGGTTCTCCTCACTATATATATATTTTTCAGAAATAATATTTTCTATAAATTTCATGTAGGCAGAATCCAAATAGCTAAAAATACCCACATGAAAATCATAAAAGTTTTATTTCACATTGTATTGAAATAATCCTGTTTGTTGTTATCTAGGATGAATAGGGAAAATATTTTACTTTTTCTTTGAAAATAAAACCATCACAACTTCTAGTTGAAGATTTTTAAAAACCATGCCTACGTGCTGATTCCTAAGGAATGTGATGTCAGAAATGCCAGGAGCTCTTCTGCATCCACATGCCTCCCTCCTCCAGCCACTGTTTTGGAGAGTACAGTTCATAATGTATTCTAGCCCCTGCACGTCGGCATCTCAGAGCCACATGTGCCTGGCCAGCCGCATCTGCTGGCTCTGCTCCTGCTGAGATCTGAAGCTGCCGTTGGCATTTACATATTCTGAGCTATGAGCAATGGTGTGATGTGGAGGAAGAAAATTCTATTAGAACAGGTTCCTGCATCTCTGCCCAACTCACAGAGGCACCCTTGTGACCTTTAACACTAGAAGAGCACCAAGTGATGCTTTAATAAAAAGTACCCGCAAGAATTCCATGGAGCTGATATTTTCCGTGGAGCTGAGTTCTTCCTTTACTAATTTACTTATGCACATGTTTAAATTGTCCCCATTTGTGGCATATTTGGGTCAACAATACAACCCTTACATCTAGCACAGTTTCTAGTAGACAATAAGCATTTGGTAAATATTTGTTGAATGAACGAATTTAACAGATAAGGAAATTAACTGTTGTTCTGAACATGTAAAGATTTAATGAGTCTATTGGCTTGATATGAAGCAGAGCTTTACAAGTTCTAATGTTTTATATGAACTCTGTAACTTGTCATATTTTATCAAGTGATAAATAAGACTAATTTTGAAATATGACATCTTATTTTGGATTATTCCTTTGTAGCTCTGTACCAAAACCCTTTGTGTCAATATAACCTGTACCGTTTATATGTAATTTACCACCTTCCAGGAGTGGAGCTGCTTGACCGAAATCGTAAGGACACCTCTTTCTTGCAAAGAAATATTTGAGAAGCAGTCTTATAGCTCAGTGGTTTAAAAATGAAAACTACCTTTGAAAATTTGTTTTCGTAAAGAATATCTTTGAATAATTGTCTTTATAAATGAAAGTTTTTCCATTATTTATTTCTGAAGTTCTTGCTCTCTGAAATTAAGGAATTCATGTCTCTTTACCACTGTACTGGAAAGATATTTCAAGTTAAGCATGAGGAAAGCATGTCTTCTGGATCTGGCTTTGATATTGACATGTTGGATGCCAAGTTTTTTACCCCTTGACACCTTAGTTTCTTATCTCAAAAATAAGGGAATTGGATAAAATCTCTTAAGGCCTATTTAAGTTCTAAAAGTCATATTCTTTGAAATTCTGTAACTATATGTATCAAAACTGATATAATCAATGATAACTTCTTTATGAATATATCTTCAGACATTGTAGATAAACTAGCATGTCTGATTTATATAACCTCTCCACACACAATTAACCTCATCACATTTTACATTTTTGAGATCTCTTTTACCCCAAAGTGCTGTATTATCTCTCTATCCACTTATCTTTCTATCTCTATAGGTTTGAACATTCTTAGTGATTTATTACTGAGTAACTTTTTTCTATGAGGATATATCAAAATGTTATGGTTATATTTCTCCTTTCTGATAGCCTTAATGAAATGGCTACATCATGCTGCAACTTCAATCATCCCTAACATTAGAAAGTGTCTGGGGTGCATTAGCTCCAGGATTGAGCTCTGCCATGTCACATGGGGCAGATATGGGGCTCTTGTAAGATTATGGAAATAACTGCGATAGCCCTTTTGTCAATCAATTTTGACAATCAATGTTCACATATAACATAGTTTAGATAAATATATTTTTGAAAGTGTTCAGTTCTATTTTGAATAACTCTCCACGTCTGTTTATAATGCTATGCAATAATATTATCTTTTATATTTCTCAGAAGTTACAGAAAAAGAACGAAGATCAATGATTACCATTTTTAACCATAAAAAGGCTCATATCATTCAATCAATAGCATTCAGAGGAAAAGTAGATGCCTCATGGGATCCTAGATCACCATTTAAGCAGAAACCAGCTCAGAGAGTACCTTCAGGTATTTTGGGGAAAAAAAATGAAATTAAAAGTCCTCAAACTTTTGGGCAATTTGGTTATAATAATGATAACTACAATTTACAATGAATTAAGTACCTGTATAGTGCAATAATTTCTAATTATTTTCTAATATTATATTTTCTAATTTTGTAATTCTATTAGTCTAAAGTCAATATGCAATTTTCATCTTTATTCATGCATATTAAATTAAATGAGGTAATGTGATAATAATGAGATAATATATTGATGCCCTTACCCTAGTATCTAGTACAGTATAAAGGGCTCAGTAAACAAGCTATAGTTATTTTTATTACTACTAACACAGGGCAATGTTACCAATTAAGTCTGGAAGTTTTTGATAATATAGAAAAAATATTAAGAAGAAATAAAGATCATCTGCAATTGTGCCACCCAGAAATAAGCACTGTTAATATTTTGATTATACTCACATACATACATCACATGCAAGTATAACTTGAATATTTTCAGTGATGTTTCATTAGTAGGAATTTAATTTCTTATATGTAACAGAAATGCAAACAAATAGGGATTTATTTTTCTCACATATAAAAGAGTACAAAGATAGGGTATTTAGGGTTAGTGTAAAGTTCCACGGTGTCATCAGTGTTCAAGAATACATCCTATCTTTTATTGTGCTATTCTGAGTATGCTTTATGGTTACAAGGTAGCCGCTATACCACCAACCATCACATCTCCATTCCAGGAAAGAAGAAAGGGTGGATGAAGAAAAGTGCAAAGACAAAATCCTTTTTTTCAGTGACACTTTGCCAAAGGGACAATATACATTTAAAAAGAACCAAATGAATTTCTAGAAATTAAGGGGAAAAAATAAATTGAAAAATTATTCGGTAGACAGATCATTGAGGCAAAAGATCAACAAAGAAATACTGGACTTAAATGTGACTGTAGAACAAGTGGATTAACAGACATTTACAGAATATTATACCCAAAAATTGCAGAATATATGTTCTTCTCATCAGCACATGGGGCATTTTTCAACATAGATCATTGAGAAGGAGGGAATCCTCCTTAGCTCATTCTGTAAAGCTAGTATCACCCTGATACCAAAGCCAGGAAAGGACACAACAATAAAGGAAAACTACAGACCAATATCCCTTATGAAACATAGATGCAAAAATCCTCAACAAAATAATAGCAAACTGAATTGAACAACACATCAAAAAGGTAATCCACCATGATCAAGTGGGTTTCATCCCAGGGATGCAAGGATGGTTCAACATATGCAAATCAATAAATGTGATTCAACACATAAACAGACATAAAAACAAAGACCGTAAGATTTTTTGCACAGCAAGGAAAATAATCAGCAGAGTAAATAAACAACCTAAGAATGGGAGAAAGTATTCACAAGCTATATATCTGACAAAAGGCTAATATTGAGAATGTACAAAGAACTCAAACAAATCAGCAAGAAAAAAACCAATAACCCCATTAAAAAGTGGGCAAAAGACATGAACAGAGTTTTTTCAAAGGAAGATATACAAATGGTCAACAGACATATGGAAAAAATGCTCATTATCATTACAAAGACATGGAATCAACCTAAGTGCCTATCAATTCATAAATGGATAAAGAAAATGTGGTGTGTATATATGTGCGTGTGTGTGTGTCTGTGTGTGTGTGTATACACCGGGGAGTACTACTGAGCCATATAAAGGAATGAATAATGCTATCTGCAGCAAATTGGATGGAACTGGAGAATATTATGCTAAGTGAAGTATCTCAGGAATGGAAAAATAAACACCACATGTTCTCACTAATAAGTGGGAGCTAAACGATGGATACACATAGTCAGAAAGTGGTGTAAACGACATTGGAAACTAAGAATGAGAAGGGTGTGAGGGATAAAAACTTACCTATAGGGTACAATGTACACTATTTTGGTAACGGGCATACTGAAAGCTCTGACCTCAGCATTATACAATTCATCCATGTAACAAGAACATTGTACCCTCTAATATTTTGAAACAAAAATTATTTTTTTTAAAAAAAAATAGTTTGGAAGAAATTACCCAGAATGCAGCATAGAGAAAGAAAGATAGAAGATATTAATCAGATGTTGAGACAAGGAAAGACAAGAAAGAGAAGGCCCAATACAAGCTTAGTAATAATTCCTGGTGGAAAAAATTGTAGAGATAAAGTGAGCAGAAGGTAATGTTTGAAGTGATAATGACTAGAAATTTTCCAAACTTAATACATTATACGAATCCTTTGATTCACCAGACAAAATGAAGCCAAAGACATAAAAGATACCTAAGTGGAAATAAAAAACAAAAAGCAAAGGCAAAATGATCTTAAAGCAGTCAGAGAAAATGCAGATTACCTACAAAGAATAACATATAGATTCACAGCAAACTCCCCACCTGCAATCATGGAAGCCAGAAGACATTAATCCAATGTTTTTAAAATGCTAACAAAAAGTAATGGTCAACTGAGAATTTTATAATCAACTAAATTATTGTTCAAGAGTAAGCAAGAGGGGAAGAAAAACAAAAAGAAGAATGAGGGCAAAATTAAGATTTTTTGCCTAACTTTTTATTGTGGAAATTTTCTAACAGAAAAAGTTAAAGAATATTAAAATAGACACCTGTATATGCCCATGTATATTCCACAATTACTAATATCCTGCCATATTCACCAGCCTCCATATAGGAGGCTTTGCCTCTTTATTCAGGAAGGACACGCCTCCTCAGAAGCTTCTACTTACACTTCATTGGTCATCCCCACACATAGTAAGTTGAACTATTAAGCAGCTGCTTCCCTGGTCTTTCTTTTACTTCATGTGAGAGGTGATGGCCCAAAAGGAATGTTATCAGAGTAGTGGGAGTGACCCATACTGTGATAGAAAAGGAATCTCTAGATAGAAAATCTCCCCTCTTAAAAACAGCTATGCACACAATAATAAGCAAAGCAAGGCCACCCCCAATCTGTTTTTCAGTGTATAATTATTACAGGTGTGGAGGGAGAGCTGATCACTTCCTGTAGGGCTTTACATCTCTTTTGTTTAACCAGATTGCTGAAAGAACTATAATCCTTTCTATTCCCTTTACTGCTTTCCCTATTAAACTTCCAAAAACAAAATCAGAGGAAGAAGAGATAGGGAGAGTATTTTATTGCCTTTGAAATTTTTCCTTCTAAATGCATATTCTTAATTCACAGATATGTTGACTATAGCGTCTAAAAATTGGCAGCGTGTCTTTTTATCGATCTACTCATTTTCCACAAAAGGCTGCTACATAATAGCAACTAGAAATATTTTTAGCCCATAGCACGGTTATTTCAGCTTATCTTAATTAGCCAAACATTTATAATGAAACTAATAAAACCCACTGTGTAAGTTTTTAAAGCTTATTTTTAAAGTTTCACAGCTTCTATATTTGTTATGTTGTAAATCTTATTGTGACATCCACATTTAGGGCTTTGAATTCTTTTATTGGAAAGAAACCATACCTGAAAATGTTTATGAGGCAATGTAACATCACATTTTGATTTTATTATTCTTAATCTTAAATCGAGAAAGAAACCAATTATATTTCGAATAGCTTGAGAAGCAAGGTCAATTTTAAGTTTTCTTCAAATCCCAGCTATCAATCCTTATCAAATGGGTATAGTTAGAAATCCTGTACCTATTTCCATTCACGCCTTTGGGTCTTATTGCATGATAACCTATATTCTCAGAATTAAAACATTGTGGGTTTTTACATGGCTTTAAGGAAACTGAGACGTTTGCAGATTTCCCACCAACTACCTAAATGTGGAAAGACATTAAGAGATATTTAAAATAAAATACCAACAAACTTTTAAAATGTCTACTAGTGGTCCAAAAGGGAAACTGCTGGATTTCCCTCATGTTTGCTCAAGACAGAGCTCCAGGTGCTAAGCCCAGGCTGGGGTGTTGTGTCACAGAGCCTAGCCCTGGCAGCTGAGGCATGTACTACTCAGGAAGAGAGAAGGATAAAACCAAAAAGAAAACCAGGCAGACTATTTGACAAATGGCGATTCACAAGAGTACATCAATGCAGACACAAGATAGGACAGAATCCAGAGAAAACCGATAATTGAAAGTTACAAGCTGGGAGATCAATGGCTCAGGAAGCCAAATCTTGAAGAAATCTCTAATTCTGGGTAGCTACGACACCAGTAAATGTCAAGTGCTGTTCATGCACGAAGGCTCAGATAGGTACTAGAGGTCGATATGAGGTCTGGAGATTGGTGAACACCGGGATGAGCAATTGAGGGGGTTGTGCAGCGTCAGAAGAATTTGCAAAGGCAAAAAGCAGCAGTCAACAGAGTTGCTGTGTTGCACAACTCCAGGGGGCACTGTTTACACAGAAAACATTGTGTGTTCTCACCACACACACACACACACACGAAAAAGAAAATGGTAACTATGTGAGGTAATAGATATATTAATTAGATTATGGTCATTATTTCACAATGTATTATAAACATATCAAAATATCAAGTCATACACCTTAAATATATACAATTTTTATTTGTCAATTGTACCTCAATAAAGCTTGGGGGAAAATGTAGGAAAAGAAAGAGTCTGTGATGATCAGAAAGGAAGGCCCGGGAGACTTTCGTCAGCCACGTGTGAAGGGAACAGTGCCATGAATTCTCCCAGAGCAGGCAGGCTGTGTGCTCTCTACCCCTTGAGAGTTGGCAAGAGCCATATTGTGGACTTTACTAGCCCAACAGGTGCAGGAAAATTCCATCTCTAGCCTGGCATAGGCCTTCTGGAGAGAAATAAACAAAGCAATGACAGTCTCTGGAAGACACCAGAAGAAATCCAGGCTTTGAGGACTAGTCTTTGAGCTCCAAAGCTAGGAAAGATAAAGATTCTTGTGATCTAGGATTTGTTTATTCTGTTTCTTTGAAGTTAATGCCAAGAATCCAAATGGTTGAAGTATACCTAAATATTTCTCTACATTTAGTTGACTATTAGTCCATTTATAGATGCATGTGCCTATCAGAAGAAAAAGGATCAGTTTCTGCATATGAGCCTCAATATCTTAATTATAAAAATTCCCACTTGTATTCCACTGATAAATTATAAATTGACTAAGTATTCTGTTCTCAGGGTTTTGAGATTTGTATGGTATTAAGGAATTTGCCTCAAAACCTAAGGCAAAACCCACCACATATAAGAGAAAATTTCAGTTTGGGGTTAGGTAAAAAGGCATTTTTGTTAGATTGAACTATTTATGTTAAAGGATGGCTTGAAAATAGAAAGCTATGTCTTAGACTTTTCCTTTATAACATTGTTCCATTGTTTTTAAATGCTGAATAAGCATTTGAAAGATACTAATTTAAAAATGTATTTTTTTAGATTTTGCATTTGCGAATAATGTAGACAAGTAAGTGATTTTTTATCTTTACTTTTATTATTAGATTTCATAATTGTGTTGTCCCCTAAGTTATGCCCATTTCCTAAAATAGATTTTAATGAAATAAAAAATTACTAACTCTTTAATAGATGGGAAAAATTGCTATGTCTTTCCGTGATAAACAAGTTCAAGCTATGTATTCATATCTGACATATTTAAGCTTTTAATATTATTGAAACCCAAAATAAATGAAAAGGCAATGTGCTACTTAAAACTGTAAAGCTTAATTATTAACTATTCCAAATGAGAGGTTTTACCTTCCTTGTTTATTTTTCCTCTAAATATGTTCAGTGACAGCAATTATGCAGATTAACATTTTATATTCACAGGAATTTGCATTTTCTAAAGCAAATACTTCATTAATACTACAGCAGACATTTCAAATTCATGAATACTGATGAATTGAAAATCATCATTCTTTTTTATTTTTGCACTTAAGATGTTTTTGTTTGGATACAGTGTTGAATATTATCCCCACGCACATTTACAAAATATAGCAAAATATAGAGAAATAACTGCACTAAAATGTGTTTAAGATAATAATATACATGTATCTATAAATACTTTAGTCATCTCATTTAACATGGTTTTAAAACAGGACTGCGTGGGTGTGTGAGACCCAAACTGTAATAGCTGTTCCTCAAATATGTTCAGATACTTTATTTTTAAAATAAACAATATATACAATAAAAATAGTGTCACTTAGCCTCAAAATCATTTGTCAATAGAGCCCACAAATTATTTGTTAGTGGTACTATATGACAAATAACACAGAAACACATGGCATACATTCACATTTAAATAAAAATTTCATTTTGGTAAATTGGTTTTTTTCTGACATAATTTCTATTTTTGCAGAACTGTGTTTGATGATCCAGAAGATGCTGTTTTTGTAAGGTCCTTGAAGAGATCAGTGATGACTATTACCTCTCTGAACTGGGATACAGTTCCAACACGAGAGGAAAAGTACCTCAATGAGAAAGGCACCAAACCTGCTCAAATGCTCAAAGTGACACTGAGATGACCCTTGGTATTTCTAGAAATCCTAGTGATTTTCAGTTGTGTATTAAAATTCCCTGTGGCTTAGCATATTATATATTTATCACGATCTTATTCGAAACATTTAAATGGAACAGAAACACCAATAATGGAAAATAATTTTACATTTTAGGCTTTTTAATGTAAAGCTGTTGTTGAAGTAAAACATATATATAGAAATGTACACAAATCATGGAGTGTTCAGCTCAACAAATTTTCGAAAAATGAACATGCTCATGTAATTGGCATCCTAGATCAAGAAATAGAACATTACCAGGACTGCAAAAGCCTCTTTGTTCCTGTTACCAGTCACTACCCACCCTTCCAAAGTAATCATTTTCCTGATTTCTAGACCATAAATTCATTGTGTCTGATTTTTAAAGGCATGTAAATGAATTCATAGGAGATGAATATTTTGTGTCTAGCTTCTTTCACTCGACATTTTAAATTCGTCCATGTTGTCGCTAGTAGCAAGAATTCTATCATTCTCACTGCTATATAGTATTCCATTGTATGACTATAACACAATTTATTTATCCAATATACTGTTTTTTATTCTCATCTCTGGGGACATTTGCCAGTTCTGGGTGTGGGCTAATGATCTCAGTTTGGCCTAGTCAGAAACCCACTTCCAGGGAAAGGAGAAACACAAAAAGCTTTTATTAATAACATTTCATATTTAATGACCTAATGGCAGTTGCTGGTGCTGAGTGACAAAATTGGACATTTAGGGTAACTCAAACTCCTTACTGGTTTTTCCCAATTAAGAAGATCGATAAAAACTTATAAATGGTAGAGTGACATTTCACCCTATCTGATGGTGCTTAGGAAGCACAGACACACCGCATAAGTGTACTGGAATCAAAATAGGCAAGTGAAAACCTAGAAGAAACAGTGAATTAACACCAAGAACCTACAGCCTTCATTCACATGTGGGCATTTATGATTCTGTGTACAACCAGAGTCTAAAAATTCAAGTATGGTTCCTGGCAGAAGATTGCAGCTAGAGTGAAGAAAAAGCAAAGATTTGGGCATCCATGTGGGTGAGTGGCTGATATCGAGGCAAAAGTGGTTGTATGTGGTTTCCAAGATCAGGTGACAGAAGGAATCGAGACATACTCTTGCTCAGATTTGAGCCATAATCCTGAAAAACACAATTCTGAAAGTGTAACTCTGGAAAAAATAATTTTAAAAGCTCTTTAAAAGACATTTATTTACATTTTTAAAGGAGATTTATTTGAGAAACATAAAAACATGACAGAACACTTCATAGGCTACTTTACACAAAAAATAGGTAAAAATAACATACGTATTTTTGCAAGCACACACACTCAGATATACTAATGATAGTCAGATGAGTGTAACAGTTATGAGCAAACAAAGCATAAAGAAGTAGATCAAAAAGCAAAATGTACAAATGCCTATCACTATGGTTGGTAATTGTGTGCACCCAGTTTTATAACTGTGGTCATTTGAAATACTGTGATAGACAACCTAAGTCTTTTTGATGAAATTGTTTAAAAACCACAATGGGTCACCACTGCATATGCAGTTTCCCAAAGAACCAAGACCTTAAGAAATTTTATCTTTTACAAATACAGATGTACACAAAGGGTATCTCTTCATTATTGAGGAGCTTCAACATTTTTACATACACACGCATTTATGCGCAATGTTGTGGTAATGCACTTTCATGAAGTCAAATTTGAAAAAAATACATAAAACGAATTAGAACTCTGAAAGTCTTTACACAATGTATACCTCCAGTATTATCAACTTACAGCAAATTGTAAAAAAGTAATGCTGTAAATTTAAAATAATGAAAAAAAGCAAAAAAAAAAAAAGAAAATCTGACATATGAAAAAGTATATTAGAGGCATAGATTATGGGCAATTGCACAGAGGTAGTCTCTAAGAGCTGGCCAACTTTCACAATCATTAATTATATTTTGAAGCATTGCATCTTGATAAATTACTGCTTTTTTCCCCAAGACATGGCTCTCTTTGGAGAATACATTCACATTTATTTTCTAGGTGATGCTGCTCTTTCAAAATTTCTTTTATGATTCAATATACACCAACATTAGCATTCCCTATTACATGTTCTCATCTTCTGTGACATGCTGCTGTGTTGTTTTGAGCACTCAGAAATTCATTCCTCATGCACTTATAGAACACAAATTTGGTAGCAGCAATACTGCCGATGGAACAGCAAGTGTTTTGCATAGGTGTTTTCTTATCCTATCGTGCATATATTTTCAAACCAGTCAGTAACTTTGCTGGCTTCTCCAGGCAAATGCAATTTTCAATTCAATAAAAGCTACTGGAATTTCACAGCTGGAAGGAATGCCAATGCTTTTAAACTGAAGTTTTTGTCATTGCTGTATTTTTATTGCATAGCCAATCCACTCATCTGATTTTTTTTTCCCAAAAGCATTGGGGTCAATGGAAAATTCCAAGTTTATTGGTGATACCTTGAAATCCACCTTTAGAAGCCTTGATTGCACCTAATTCTAAATCTGTCATTATGGTTTGGGGATTCAGTTGAAATCCATTTTCTTCTGCAAAGTCCACCAAATTTTGAAATAGGCATTTATAAGGTGCTTCACTTTTTCAAATCATTAATACATAAATGAGCAGATAAGTTCTAGAATTTTTGGATCCAACAGGGGCATGAATTGTATATAGTTGACAAAAAACTGTGGGGACGATTTTGAAAGTGACATCCAGTAGCCAAGGTGAGGCATGTGCTAGTTTTTCTATGCCAGATTTAGTGGTAGGCATACAAAGTCTATCTTCTTCAACAGTCAACTCTCTAACCAAAAACAGTTCACCATTTAATGTGTTTTGTAAACACAGGAGGAACCTCTATGTCAGCAAGTGTCTTTGGTTCAGACTGTTGCTGAGCTTGTTAAATTCTTTTTATTTTCTGATGAAGGGCGATTTTTTGTAGGCAAGCCTGGTGGTATGCATGCATGTAGGGGCAGAGGTAGGATAATTGAATAATTTGGCAGGGAGATTTCTTGTATTTTCTGCCTGCATTTTTACTTCTTCTATGATCTTTGAGATATTGAACCACTGAGGGGAAGATCTTTCCCATCTAGTCCTCTCAGACTCGCTTACTAATCTCCTCTGGAAACTCCCTCGCAGACATACCTAAAATAATGCTTTACCAGGTTTCCAGGTATTCCTTAATCCAGTTAAATTGACACCTAAAATTAAGTCCACAAGTCCACCCCTTGTCAACTTGGCATCTGCACACATCTTCTTAAACCATGTTTAATTTCCAAATATAGACAATAACAAGGTAATAGTTCCACCTAACATGATACAGCTGACATGATGCAAGTATCCTGTGTACAACCACAAACGCACTAATTGTGATTTTCAGGATTTTAGATGTCAGAGATTCTAGACTTTAGGGATTTTGATCTTTGTGGATGTCAACATTTGGGATTGTGTCTTCTGGGATTATTTTTGGCACCACTTTTGTTCCCTCTCCCAGATCACTTATTTTGGGGGAATCCAGGCTGCCATGTCAATAACGACACTCGGTCCTCTGGAGAGATCTATATTTTGAGGAATGAGGGCTCTTTCCAAAAAAAGCCAGTGAGGAACAAGGCCTTCTGCTAACAGCCATGCAAGCAGATACTCCAGACCCACTTAAACCTTCAGATGACCACAGCCCTGGCTGAGTGCTTCACTCAAGCCAGTGAAACCCCAAACCAGAACCATTCAGTTAAGCTGCTTCTGGATTTCTGGCCTACAGAAGCTATATGAGATCATACTTACTGATGTTTCAAGCTGATAAATTTGGGGATAATTTGTTATACAACAGTAGATAACTAACGCAATAACCCAGCATAATCCATGGTTCTTTGCGGAGTTTCCAGCAAGCTATAGGAGAAGAGTCACAGTGCAATTTCCAAGGGTTCTTGAGCAAGGCCACACCATCAGCAGCGGAGAACTAATCACTGTTTAAATAGCAGTTCTAGGCATACTACTGCATCAGTCTTAGTACTGAGAGCCTGACTATTGATGAGGTAGCTGTTTGATCAAAGCTACTCATCATGAGCTGAGTACTGTCAGGCCCACCAAGCAATAACATCGAGTGGCAACTATCCATTTCATGATGGAAATAGTATATTTAGGATCGGGTTTAAGGTGACCCATAGTTGCATAAAGTACTCTTAATTTATAATTAGATTGCAGTAAGCTAAAGATGGGATATTGGAATCTCTAGGTTAACCACTAAAAGAATAAGAATATGTAGTCTTTGTTTGATATTTTGTTTTTTCACAATCTCTGAAAAGAATGAAAAATTTACTCCAATTGAAAAATGTCTGACAAATTTTACTTAATCTTATTTTCAGAGAACTAATGGAAATATATCTTACCTGCATGAAGAACAAGATTTGCTTTAAAGTGCCTTCTTCAATATCAGATTTTTTTAATTTAATAATGAAGGGTTAATGAGTGGCTGTGATTGAAAAACCTTATATGAAATATCATTTTGTGAGAAACACAAAATAGAAGACATGATCCTTAAGCTACCTAAAACTTTACCAAATGGAACACATTATTATTGAGAAGGCATTTTTAATTAAGTTCTTTGCTTTAAACAACAGGGACCCATTAAAACTGGCTCAAGTGAAAGCATATTTATTTCAGGATCCACTGGGAGGTCTCATGACAAGGAAACAGAAAATACTGATATATAGATCTATGGAGGGTTGTGGCTAAAAACTGGGGCTCCGGGCTGGGCGCGGTGGCTCACACCTGTAATCCTAGCACTCTGGGAGGCCGAGGCGGGCAGATTGTTTGAGCTCAGGAGTTCGAAACCAGCCTGAGCAAGAGCGAGACCCCGTCTCTACTAAAAAATTAGAAAGAAATTAATTGGACAGCTAAAAATATATAGAAAAAAAATTAGCCGGGCATGGTGGTGCGTACCTGTAGTCCCAGCTACTCGGGAGGCTGAGGCAGGAGGATCGCTTGAGCCCAGGAGTTTGAGGTTGCTGTGAGCTAGGATGATGCCACGGCACTCTAGCCCAGGCAACACAGTTGAGACTCTGTCTCAAAAAAAAAAAAAAAAACTGGGGCTCCAGAATTAGACAGATCTGGCTTAGCTTTTCCACTTACTAGTTATATTACCTGGAAAAGTTACTTAACCTCTCCAGGCTTTAAATTCCTCTTATTTAAAACAATAATAGTAATTACCTCATAGAGTCTCAAGGATTAAGTTGGACAATGTATGTAAAGTACTAGATAGAGTGGCTTTCTTAATGTGAGTACTGAATATATACATCAGCTATTACTGTTATTCTTTTATTTAGTTATTTATTTTTTATTCGGTCTCCACAGAGACTGTCAAAAATTGCCAATGCCGACTACATTTCAAATTGTCATGGCAGGGTATTGGGAAAAGTTTTCAATAGCAATAATTGCGCCTTGGATAAGCCTCATTGGCTACGATACTGCCACTGCGCAAAGCTACTGTTATTCTTATACCAAGGGCAGCTATGCCCCTTAGGAACTTGGTGATACGGACTGAATGTTCGTGTCCCCTCAAAATTCACATGCTGAAATCTAATCCCAAAGTGATGGCATTTAGAGGTGGAGCCTTTGGGAAGTAATTAGGTCATGAGGATAGAGCCCTCATGAATGGGATTAGCCCCCTTAAGAGGCCAGAGAGCCAGCTCTCCCTCCTTCCAAGTGAGGACACAGCACTATGGCCCTCTGTAAACCAGGAAGAGGGTGCTCACCAAGAACTCAATCCTTCTGGTGCCCTAATCTTGATTTCCAGTTTCTAGAACTATGACAATAAAATATTTGTTGTTTAAACCATCCTGTCTATGATAATTTGTTATAGCATCCCGAACTAAGATACCTGACATATTAGTTAGGGTTCTTCAGAAAAACAGAATCAATAGGACATATGCATGTATATAGAGAGATTTATTTTAAGGAATCGGTTGTGGGGTCTGGGAAGTTCAAAGTTTGTAAGGGCAAGTTGGCAGCCTGGAAATTCAGGTATGAGTTGATGTTGCTATCTTGAGTTCGCTGGCAGGGTTTTGTTGGGACTTCCTCCCCGCCCCAACAAAGGTATAGAAGTAATTTAATGATAAAATAATAGACTCTTTAACAAACACTGCTGGAACAACTGGGTATTAGTATGGAAAAAATGAAATTTTATCATTACTCATACCATATTCAAAAATTACTCAAATTGGATCACAGACCTCTTCATAAAGCCCAAAACAATAAAACTTCCAAAATAAAGCATAGGAGGAAATCTTTGTAAATGTGCAATACATAAACATTTTTTTAAAGGACATAAAAGAGCATGAAAAAGAAAAACTGGTAAATTGAACTTTATCAAAATTAGAAACTTTTGCTCTTATAAAGTCAAGATTTTTAAACATGAGAAAGCCACAGACTGGGAGAAAATACTTGAAATACACATACATTTGACAAGGAACTAGTGTTCTGAATATATAAAACACCTTCCTTTACCACTCCATAGTAAGAAGATAACTCAATTGAAAAAAATAATAAAATAATACGACAAAATAGGATTATAGTCTATGTTAATTCTAAACTTTTTTTTTTTTTTGAGACAGAGTCTGGCTCTGTTTTCCAGACTAGAGTGCTGTGGCATCAGCCTAGCTCACAGCAACCTCCAACTCCTGGGCTCAAGC